ATAATCATATCATTAAAGTCTTCCATAGAATGGAAAATGGGATGAGCACCACCAACACGCTCATCAGGGGAAGTGATGGCATTAAAATCCCCACCCACCAACCAAGGTAAAGAACAAATATTATGAAAATTCTCAATTTGCTCCCACAAGGATTTCCTTCCATTACGAGAAGAAGCAGCATAAACAAAGGAAGCAACACACTGAAAGTTAAAGCATTCAATATTACAATGTAAAACTTGAGCATAATTATCAATCACTTCCATTCTCACAAAATCTTTCCAAAACACCCAAATTTTGTTAGACACATTAGCAAAAACATGCTTAAAACCCAAGAAATTAGCAGTAGCTTTAAGTTTATCCATAGAAATAAGAGGTTCCAAGAGAACAAGAACAGAAATATTATTAATACGACATAAGTTCTTAATCCGAAGTTTAGAGGAAGGGCAACCGATCCCCCTCACATTCCAAATAATAGAATTAAACATAAAAATGACTTAATGAGCAGTATGTGATCTAGTATTCCTCGGAGGATGCAGAATAACATTCCTAGGCTTACCTCTCTTACCACGGCTTTTAGAGAAACTAAGATCATTATCCAATCGAGCATAACATTTAGCATTTATTTCAATCTCTGTATCAGTAAAAGCATCAGAATTAAAATGATTAGAGAGAGGATATTTATTGTTCATCTCACCATCCAAGGGGGTAGAAGCCGAGCTTTCAGCTTCCAAAAATAGGACACCATCCTCCTTAGTAGAGGTATTGACCTGCTTTTTTTCAGAAACAGTATTATGATGACCAACAGCATTAATACTAAGAGATTTATTGGAATTAACTAAAGGACTAGCTTTAGTAACAAGGGCAGTATCATTAACATCATGAGCACTATTAACAGTTTTAAGAATCTCCAAAGAGTTAGAAGAAGCAACAACCCCTTCATTTAAAACAACAACCAACTCATCCGAGCTTTTCACAATTTCAGCATTATCCCACTTACGCTGGTCTAGGATATCAAGGGAACCAACCTCAGCAGTTTTAGGTAAATGAGCATCAGTACCATCTTTTGCCGAATTAACAGAAACCTCATTAATATTGTCAGGTAAATTGGGAATGAGGTTAGCATTCTCTCCACTTTTTTCATCAACCAATTCTTCACCTAAAACCTGAGGATTAGTATCAATATGCTGTGAAACATTGAGACCCCCTTTCTCCTTAACTTCATTCGAATTATTAACATTTTTTTCCTTTCTTAAATGAGGATGTAATCGAAAGCACTCATTTATACCATGGCCATGCATCCTACAATGAGAGCAAAATACCGGTAAATTTTCAATCTCAACCTTTTGAAAATACCCGTGCATCTCCGATCCTAACCAGATTTCTTGCGGATGTTTCTTAGTCACATCCAATTCCACCAGGATTCGAGCAACGGACGGTCTAGACAGAGACGCCGTAGCTTGATCAGTTTGAAGCGGCCTTCCAAACACAGAAGCAAGACCAAACAGAATTTGAGAGTTAAAGAAATGTAAACACAGATTAGGGAAAGCTAACCAAACCGAAGCAATCGGAGATTCTTCCCTAACATCAAAGTCCGGAGACCATTTCAGAAGCCTCATCTGACAACCCTGGATATAGTATGAGCGACGAGAAAAAATACAGCTATAATCCAAATCATTAGAAAGTTGAATCGAGACATGTTTCGAATCAAGAAAACCAACCGAAAAGGATCCATAAAGTTTTAAACTGTAAAAAAATTTTCTGATAACATCAAGGTTAGGTCTGCGAAGCATAAACTTACCAACAAGCGTGAAAGAGAAAGGCGCAGCCAACTGTTGAACAACACCCTCCTCAAAAATCAAAGCCGGACACCCTTTGAAGTAGAGTGCACAAAATGAACTTTGGCAGAGGAAGACGATGGACCCGAAACCACATCTTTAAACGATCTAGTTTTACCAGCAAGAAGGGGGCCAACGGCCGGGGTAGACAACGTCAGAACCGACATCGCCCCCCACCCCAACGAAAAGGAAAAACAACCCCAAACAGCAAAAAACAGGGGAGAAACAAGGCAAAAAGGCGGCGAAAAAAGCCCAGAATGTAGGAAACAGGAAGAGGAAGGAAAATACCAGAGGCAAAACGCAAGAACAACGGCAGAAACTTGGCTAGAAGAGCCACACACCAGCAGAGAAGAAGATCGCCTCAAAATCGCCTCAGCGACGCAGAGAGGCGGCTAGGGCGAAAAAGCTCTCAAGTAATGAAAATTGAAGTAGCATATTCTATAACTGATTTAGACTTCTTTTGGGACAATTTTCTTATTGCTTTTTAAAGTAGTTTTTTTGTACAAAAATTTAAATTTTTGTACTAGAAAGCTACTTTAAGAAGCAATAAGAAAGCTGTCACAAACGAATCCTTAGATTGATGTGGTTGCATCAATCTCATATGATCAAGCATAAGTTTTTAAATGTAAAAAATGTGCCAAGGATCTTTCTGTCAGGTTGGGTCGACTACCTCCTCTGACTAAGTAGACCAGGGACCACGATGGCCCGGGACGACGGAACCATGGGATCTTGATCGGGCTCATCATCCATTCCCCCACCATCCGCTTTAAGTGCTAGATGGTGCAATTTCTATTTCTAAATATCGAATCCTTCAAATTCCAAACTCCCAATCCTCAATATCCCAAATCCATTGCTGCTACTATATGCCAGATAACACGTATATTCTACGTATCTGATCGATGACTAGCCTTAATCGAAAGTTCTCTCTCATGATCGGGAGAGGTAATTAACTATAGGGGCTTGCGCCTATAGGAAACCAGAACTCAGATCATAAAGTCCTCACAAAATGAGGGCGAAATCTCTAGGTAGTGTCTTATCTACAAACCCATGTGCCTTCCAAAATTTATCTCGGAACTTAGTTCGTTAAAACTCCCTCGCCGAATAAGAAAAGAGAGCGGAGGCCGGGGCCGAATTTTCGGAGCCCACAATATATTTTGAATATTTTTTGGAGTTGTAATATATATTTTCGGGAAGATATATTTTTTCCTAAAAAATTACACAATTTCACCACTACCTTTTAGTGGCCCAAATTTTTATCAATTTTTTTAAAATTAGTGGGACTCCTAGAGTCATATAATTTATGACACTATAAGAAAATCGCCCATTACTAGTGGATTTTTTTGGTGGAATATTTTCTGTTAGAATTTCAAGCGGATTTCTGACGGATTTTGATGACATATATTCGATAGATTTTTTGTTAGATATCCCGGAGGGTGGGCGTTTGAGTAGGTGGCGCAGGGGGCATGCAGGCGTTTAGGCGGGTCGCGCGGGGGACATCTGGGCCAGTCAAGCGGGTCAAATGGCATGTCACGCGGGTCGGATGCAAGCCCACCTGGGCTAGGCGCGGGTGGGACCTTTTATTTTTTAATTTTTACGGCGAATATATTCTGTCGAAAATATTTCCGATGGTTTTTTTTTTTCCGCCTGAAATCCGCTAGAAATTTTTCCAACGGACTGTTTTACACCGGTAGCAATTTTCTGACGCGTGTTTTTCCGGCATAAATATTTCGCTGAAAATACTAATTTCTAATGGATTTTGATCATTTTCTGGCGAAAATTACCGTCAAAAATAACATTTTTCATGTAGTGTGAGCTATTTATCGTGTTTGGATTGCTCTCAAAGATATGACTATTTTGATACCAAGATTGCTCCTTTTTGTCATCATTTTTTAACTGTGATAGAATTAGTCTATACATCTTTTGAAAAAAACTTTGGATGATCCAACTACCAAAATTTTGATTCATCATTAATACTTATAAATCTATTGTATCAAGAGCTTCACAATGAAACCCTCAGCACACTAATTAGAGATTTCTCTAATGATGGCCACATTTGGACCACAAGTAAGCCATAGCTGACAACCTATGACTTTGATCTCCCTAATGACTCCAAATCTCGCTACTAAAGAAAACCCATATGTGAACCATGGACAAGCTTCCATTCTTCCCTCTCCATACTAGAAAATTCTCATTAGTCAACATAGTGATGTTTGTCCCTAAAAGATCACATATGATCTATGGAGGAATCCCATGAATGATGAGATCCCTTACATTCTAGATGAGCTCCTCTAACTTGGTCCTTCATTCTAGAATCACATTAGATCCCTCCACCTTAACATATCATGTATCGAGAATCATTCATCGGAGTACGTTTGTTCATCCATGCATTTTCAACTATCAAATTAAATTTTATAGTTTTTCCTTTAATTAAGTCGTACGTATACAGTCCCGTATTCTCACTTATACCTTCATTTATTCATATTTCTCATTTATCCATTATATATCCACTTCCACTTATTCACATCAATATCTAAGATGCAACATGGTGGTCTAACTCCTTTCATGACAGTTCTCCTATTCTTGTCAAATTTTCTTCCTACTATTGAGTGGGAAGCTTTATTTCTACTGCTGCTCTGCACTGACTTTGTTCTTCAGGTTCTGACTGGCCAGTTATTATTTTGAGAATTTCTGCCCCAACAACTTTGCCAGAGCCCATGATGATCTGCATTGATACCAAACTTCTATTCTGAGCCCATTTTGCTCCCTAAAGCTCTTTTGAAACTTGTTTTTTCTTAGTTTTCTTATCTCTAGCTAACTTAAGCTATGCTTCTAATCACAACTCTTTTTAAGCTATGTAGGATGTCTTATTCCTCATCATATTCATGTAGAAGTTTATATTAAACAGTTTATTGTTCTTGTTCTTCTACAAGAGCACAGTTCCTAGTCGATCTCCTCGTCTCTTCCTGTGTGTAGTTATGGAATAATCTTCCTGTGTGAAAACAAAGCTTTATTGTTGAACTAAGACTTCATTTGGGATGACTTTTTTATTGCTTCTAAAAACAGTTTTCTAGTAAGAAATTTTAATTTTTCAACTAGAAAGCTGATTTAAGAAACAATAAAAAAAAATCATTTCAAACAAAAACTCAGTGTAATCAAGTAGAAAAATGAATCAAAACCAAACCATTTCCTTAATTTGAATCCACAATCAAATGTACACTTTCGTTTTTGTTTTCCTTGCAATGTGAAAAAATGGACCAGTTGTCGCTCATGAACTTCAACTTCACATTCAAAGCCAAGATACCATATTCTAAGAGCTCATTCTATTCCAAACACAGTGAACTCCTAATCTTCTCATAAATCATAGCACAGATCTGCTTCCAAGTGCTTCAAACTAGAATCAAAGACCCATTGATCAAATCAATTACAAGAACTGCTAAGGCCATCCTTCACGATGCTCTGATCTACTTCGAAATCTGTGCACAAATCGATGCTCGCTCGCACTCCTTGATGCTAACTCTCTAATTCTCTGAAAAAAATGTCTGCTTCTACCTGTCCTAAGAGGACCAGAGCTTGAATTTATTTGAAACAAACCTGAAGCACCCTCTCCATAACCTGCAGATGGATAAAACAGATCTGATTGAGATATTCCTCTCTCTGGTCCTTGACATAAACCAATATTGATTCTGGTGTCTGTGTCTACTGCAGAGGATCCTTCATTGCTGCAGCTTTCTGAATGCCTGAACTCATCACTCTCATTGCATACCAATTTCAAGGCCTGAACCACCTCACCCATGAACGGACGGTAGGACACTTCAGGCTCGACGCACATAGAAGCAATGGCTGCAACCTTGGCAATGCTATCCTGAGGGTAATTGGTGCCAAGAGTTGGATCGATGATTTTGTCCAATCCGTCCACCTTTGTCAGGAGAGGACGAGCCCAAGAAACAAGATTTTCCTGACCAGGTGGTTGCAACATGTCCACAGGCTTCCTCCCAGTCAGAAGCTCGATAAGAACGACGCCGTAGCTGTAAACATCACTCTTGACCAGAAGATGACCTGTCATCGCATATTCGGGAGCCACATAGCTGAAGAAAAGAAGAGAAAGTTCATATCAAACAGAAAGCATGGCTTCATATTAACAGATAGCAGTGTTCCAGGCATTTTATACCCAAAAGTTCCCATAACTCTTGTTGAGATGTGCTCATTTTGTTCATCCAAAGCAGCCCTGGCCAGGCCAAAATCAGAAACTTTGGGTGTATAATCATGTTCTAATAAGATGTTGCTGGATTTGAAGTCCCGATGAATGACCCGAGGACTCGAATCCTCATGAAGATAGGCTAAACCTCGAGCTGCACCGAGCGCAATCTTCATGCGTGCATTCCAGTCAAGTGGAGCAATATCCTTGTCCACACCTGGATTTAAATATATCAAAAATGCACTATATCATCAGTTCGAGGATCAATTGTATCTTGCTAATTTATTCATCGACTAGTGGAATACAAGCTTTTCTTTGAGTTTTCTCTCAGATTTCAGCGTCGTTTTGCTGTTTTTCTGCTGTAAACAGCAGATTTCTGCTGTATTTCTGCTGTGGACAGCAGTTTCCATCGGATCAACTTCAGTTTTGGTGAGAAACACTTGGGAACACAAGTGTTTCCTATCAGTATGTTCAAATGTTTGCCCAAAATATATTCAACCAAAATGCTAAGGGCTTATTTGATTGCTAGTAAATATAATATTTTTTTCTTAAATTTACTAGATTAAATTGTTTTCACTACAAGGTTACTTACACCAAAACAATGGATTTGAAATTCATAATAAGATTCCTTCAACCATAGAAACTGAATTATGCTTTAGAAATGCAAACTTTCAAAAAGCTTATTTGTAACTTCAAGTGGATTATATTCAAACTTCAACCAGATGAACCCATTGAAAAGATTTAATTAAAAAGACAATCAGAATATGTCGAGGCAATTCTTACCATGTAGATGTGATTCCACACTACCATTTGGTATAAGTTCATAGACAAGGCAGCGAGTGTTTTCCTCTGTGCATATACCTATCAACTTGACCAGGTTCCTGTGATGTAAACGGCCAAGCATCTCAACCTCAGCCAAGAACTCCCGTTCTCCTTGCTGATCATCTCTCTTGAGAACCTTCACTGCAACTCTTGTTCCATCCTCAAGAACTCCCTTGTAAACGCGCCCAAAACCTCCTTCTCCAACAATTCTTGAATCATCAAACTTATTTGTAGCTTTTTCTATCTCGACTAGACTGAAGGTCTTTGCTGATCCGGTGTACGTCGCAAGATTGGAGCTGAAGGAGGCTGATGTTGAATTTGGTCTACTTCCAGTGGTCACAGGTACAGCTCGACCAGCTATTTTTTTCATTTTGAAAAGAAAAAAAAACAGTAAGATTCTGGAATAGAAATATAGATGTTCTATTTCTCATTTGCCAATGTCATGTCCCAATCTATTTCTTATTCAATCTTTAATAAACAAGGTGGTCATAAAAACCAATAATCCTACAGTATAGCACAAGCAAAGAAATATTTGCATCCTCCTTAAAAAAGGAGCATTTCTGCAAACCCTATGAAGAACATTTCAATGGCACTAAGTGTTAGGGAAGTAGCCTAAAACGGGCAGCATTTCCTCAAATATGGGAAGCTGGTAAATGTGGTTTTTGTCCTATGGAAGAAAGCAGCAAAAGGTGGGTAGCAGAGCTATGTGCTGCCGTTGCACCACCGAATAGAGTCTCATATAGGAATAGCCAAGATATGTCATAGCATTGTCCAAACCCCAAATAGAGCGCTTTAAATAGGCATAAATGATGGAAAAATTATTCTGTGCGGACATCGGATGGCGTCCGGAGTCGATTCGCCTCCGAACGGTCCAGTGTCCGCACAAAATAATCTCTCTAAATTATGGGATGTTTTGTCACTGGCATCCCTAATGTAATCTATGTTTTTTAAATATGTCAATTATTTAGTTCACTGCAATCTTTAAATAAAAATTCAAAAATAACAATGGCATTATATTTTGTTGATATTAGACGTCGAGCAAATTGGGTGACATCTAATATCACGAAATTTGAAAATACCTATAATTGTATTTTAATATATATAATATAAAACCCTCAATATAATAGCAATGAATCAAGCACATAATATTTTACATACAGCATAGAGAGAGAGAGAATTCAAAGTAAATCAAGCATAAAATTTGCTTCTTCTCAAAGTGATATACATTTCATTTCAAATATCACCTAGAATGTTTGATGCAAAGCATCTTAGTTAAAATACTCCTTAGGCATATGTCATTTAGTTTCTTACAAGAATTCTAGAATGTTCTTGATTTCTCTAGGTTTATTTTGCTATCTTATAAGTATAGGAGTTGTAAGAGGGAAAAAGTATGAATATATTTTTGGAATTTAACAATGTATTCACTGGTTTTGTGTTCTAGTTCTGAGGAACTTTATTTGAAATACTTCATCAAATGATCTCCCTACATCAATGTTAAAGAAAAGAGACTGCCGGACGGAATTGAATTACAAATTTTCCAAATAAAATTTGCAGGCGTCAGAAAAGAAAGCATGTGATGATGTGCTTCTACTTATACAGAATAGTAAACAAAGAACTAAATAAATCTACAACATGCCATGCAGCGGCACATTACCTCCACCCTTCCACAAAGAAACAAAGAGTAGAAATATGAAGAAGAATTTTGAGGACGTTATGGTCCATGCATCTAGGTTAGAAAGCACAGGCCAAATGCAAGCATTTATAAAGCTATCCGGTACAAAATTTACCTGAAAGTTTTGCAAAAGGAGTTTGTAAAGATTGAGAACTTGGTGCGGGCAAATCTGAATGCTCCCTGTGCCTTAAAAACAAAAACCATGCAGCTCCAACAATTAAAACCAAAGATATTACAGATGATAGAACTATTACGGTTATCAGGCTTCCACGTGGTTTCCGTTTTCCATTCTGCTTTCTCACATCGACTCCAAGAGGTCGAATTCCCCTAGCATTGTTGGCATTACCATATGCTCCCCCTTCAACATTAATATATGCAGGTGCAGTAGGCGGCGATGGAGGAAGGCCTGCATAAAGCAATATATTTAACTAACTTGCTGGGATAGTGAAAAAGCAGCACTGCAACACCAGCCAAAGAAATGGTCCCAATTAAAATGTCAAGACCTCAAATTAGTTAAAATGTGATATAGGGGCTTTGGTGGGCCTCATTTTCCAGTTTTTTCTTCATTCACCTCACTTTGGGATTTCTTAAGAAAGAAGTTCGATACTTTCAAGAATTTTCCTCTAAAATCTGATAAGGGTTGAAGTTTCTGGGTTTTAGTATCAATCGACCGGATGTTTCAAGCTTTCCATGCAAATAGCGCTTCACCCGATTGATCAAAGTTCATAACAGCACGTCATAAAAAACTAGGCAGGAATTTGCTTAATCCTGCCATCCTCAAAAAGATGCTAAATGTTTCCCAAGGACACCAGGATATGTGAACTAGAGGATGAATCAATTTCAGTAAAATTTCATTCCATGTGTAAATGGATATCAAAAGTGAGAAAATTAATTCAAAAACGCCCATACCACTCATGTTAAATGTTGAAAATCTTATGGATTCTAGTCTCATTGCTTACTCGGTGCCTCTCGATGATTCTTTCCCTACTTTTGTGGATCCAATCTCATATTGCATCATTTGGCGCTCCATTGTTTGAGGTGGAACTCAATCAGAGGTTATTTTGTGAAGAGATGTATCTCTTCAATTCAAAAGTTTTTTTTATCTCGTTGTTCTCTTTTTTTTTTATTTCAGCCAACATAAGCATATCATCACTTGTAAGAATGGTTATAGTAAAGCTCAAATTGATTATTTTCTTATTAAAAAAATAGATCGTTTAGATTGCAAAGCTTGTAAAGTTATTCCGAGTGAAAGTTTATGTGTCCAACATTGCTTATTAGTTTTTTATTTTAAAATGAAGAGGTGGAAAATAAAAAATAAAGCAAAAAGTTGTTCTAGGATTAGATTGGGGAATTTAAAGAATATTAACAAAAATATTTTTTAGAGTAAGCTACTAGATCTTAAGATTTTGTCTGTGTATGAAGAAGCTAATATTAAGTGGAAGGAACTAAAAATATTCAAAAGATGTGCTTGGAGTATCAAAAAGAAAAACTCCTAATATTAAGAATAGTTGGTGGTGGAATCAAAATGTGAAAAAAAATATAAAAAATAAGAAGATTTGTTATAAATATTGGTTTAGATGTAAAAATTCTAATAATAATAATTATGAAAGATATAAAGAGACCCTTAAGAAGTCTAAGAAAGCAATATGTAATGTAAAGATTTTAGTTTTTAACGGTTAATATGATATATTAGATACTAAGGATGATGAAAGATATATGTATAAGTTAGTTAGACAAAAAGATAATAGCAGTAAGGATTTAGTTCAAGTGAAGTGTATTAAAGATGAAGATCAAAAAGTACTTTTATTAGAATACGATATTTAACAAAGGTGGATGCGATATTTTTCTCTACTTTTCAATGAAAATTATGAGAATGTGATTGACTTTAGTGACCTTAGCACCCTAAATAAAAATAATTTTTTTTGTTTTTATCGACGTAGTAGTAAAATGAAGTTAGAGAGGCTTTAAAGAAAATGAAGTGTTGAAAAGCTGTTAGCCCTGATGATTTCTTGGCTTACTAAATTATTTAATATTATTATGAAGACTTAAAAGATGTCAGATGAGTGAAAAATGAGTGTATTAATTCCTATTTTAAAGAATAAAGGTGATGCACAAGATTGTACGAATTATAGATGCATTAAATTAATGTGTCATACTTTAAAATTATGGGAGAGAGTTATGGAGCACAGGTTGCGGTATCAACCATTAAAAAAGCGGTCGAGGCGAAAGTCATGCGTATCGGGGCTTATGCCTTGAACCATCCAGCAAAGCCTACGATTTTTTCGCACGAGGCATATGCATTAGAGCGTAACGCCTCGAGGCAGTATGAGGTACCGCCTCGAAATTTTTTCTTCGGTATATATGTAAATACGACGCAGCCGATTCGTGTTTGTGTATTCGCGTATAGGATTAGGAATTCCTGTGAGAATTGAAAGGCGAACTAGAGGCAAAGCCGTGAGGGAAAGAGACGAAGCTGTGAGGGAAGGAGACGAAGCTGTGAGTGTAGGAGACGAAGTCGGAAGGAGACGACGCAGGGAAAGAAATTAAGCCGAAGTTGTGAGTGCAGGAAACATTCAGGCATCGGTTAGGTCGGAAGAGCAGGTACGCGGTGTTGTGGCCTTGACTTTGACGTGTAGTAACGAAAGCTTGAATAACTCCTGATTCAACTTTCTTTCATTCATCCGCTCAGTACATGCTCGGTACCGAGCATGTACCGCTCAGTACATGCTCGGTACCGCTCAGTACATGCTCGGTACTGCTAGGTACATGCTCGGTACTGCTAGGTACATGCTCGGTACTGAGCATGTACACGTACGGTACCGCTCGGTACCGAGCGGTACAAGCTCGGTACCGAGCATGTACACGTTCGGTACCGCTCGGTACCGAGCGGTACATGCTTGGTACGCTCGGTATTGAGCATATACAACAAGCAGAATTTCAAAATTACTCTTATAATATAATTTTGTTCCGGGGGCGCTTCCCCTTGACCCCGTGACCTGACCGGGCAGGTCGAACCCAGCAAGGGGGCAGTGCCCCCTTGGACCCCCGGCAGACTGGAGTAGCTCGAGTGAAAGATAAGATTAGAGAGAGTTGTCTTAGATCGTTTGGTCACATAAAACAGTGGTCTTCTGATGACCCGGTTATGAAAGTAGACGTATTAAATTTGACTTATGTTAAGAAAAGTCGAGGTAGACCTAAAAATACTTGGTTGAAAAATATTAGAAAATGACCTTTTCTTTATTAGATTTAAAAGAGAATTTAACTCTTAACAGAACATAATGAAGAAAAATGATTCATGTAGCCGACCCCACATAGTGGAATAAAAGTTTCATGTTGCTGTTGTTGTTGTATAAAGCTGATTTAAAAAGAAGTAAAGAAAATTGTCCTAAACGAAATCTATATCTTCTGTGGTGGCTGCCTTGTCCTTTTATTCAAGGTCACCATCTTGATAATTGTAATGAGTAATATAGTAAAATACATGTGGCCATGAATTTAGGAGAACCAGCCTCCAACACACACTTCTTGTCTTCCGAATCTTCTTGTAATTTTCTCTTTTATTCTATACATTAATTCCTAACATTAACCATAAAAACTAGACCAAAAATAGCAAAAATAAATTTTCAAGATTAAATTACAAAAAAATATAGCTAAAACAGTAAAAATTAGAACAAAAAGCTACACCTTAGGGTACCTTAAGTGCAAAAACGAAACCAATAAAAAGATAAAAAGTCACTAACCCGGATAGAGAACATACAATACTTCATAGTCTCCAAAATATGAAGCCTGTATGGCCACCTGCTTATGCCAGAATTTCTCATAGGTTAGAAATGCTGTTGTATAGTCAAATTCTTTTCCAAGTGGAACCAGGTCAATGAGGACAACAGCCTTCTCCGTGTCCTCAGACGCAGCATTTGCTCCCATGATGCGTACTTGACTTTGTTTCACAAAAATTCCAGATGCTATTTCTTGAGCAAATTCAGAAACCAAGGGGAAAAATGTATACAATGCAACACCAAGACGAAGTCCTACTTTAATTGGCTGGACACACGTACAAGGTGCCCCTGGAAGGGGGTTTGCAAGTGGTTCTTGGCATGTTATAGGGCCACAATCTGCAAACAAGAAAAACTAAAACCATCAATAAACATGCCTCTCAAGGCACATACCACAATAGATTCACTCACAATCATTAAAATCAAGGCATCAAAGAATATGCTCAAAATAACAAGTAACACAGCGCCATATGTAGAAATGTAATCAATGCTGCATACTCAAATTTGGCGGTGGAGGCGGTAAGGACCGAATGGGTTGTGGCAATTGTGATGGAGACTTTCCCCTGAAATACCTAGGAGAAGGTGTAGGATGATAAATTGGTCCTGTTAAGACACAATCTTGATCATTAACAAAGTAAAAAAAACAAAAAAGAACATAGAGTTGAATATTAAATTAGAAATAACAAATGAACTTTCATCCATTATGCATTTGTTAAGGGGTCAGTGAAGGTGCAGTAGCAGATTTCTCACCATTTGGGTATGAAATTGGAGCATGATCCGGAGGAAAGTAAGGTCCTGCAGCAAATAATTAAGATTATGATTAATTTCAATGGACCTGGTTTCTAGCATTTTTAAACTATAAAAACTTTATGATTGGATGTAGGAGTATGATAGCTTCTCTTACTCTCTGGAATCTCTATGGGAGGATGAAAAGGAGCATGGTTGACAATAGGACCTTCAACATGAGGTGAAGGAGCAAAAGGCCTCATATTATTCCATGATGGTATTGGAGGCTGCGAAGGCCCTGGATTGACCTCAGGACCTTCAACATTAGGTGGAGAAGCATTATGCTTTCTCCCATTCTTTGGAACATCAGTTGGAGGATGATTCACAAGAGCTGGAGAGATCACAGGGCCCCCAATATAGATTGGAGGAGTGGCCCTTCCCTTGTTCCTTGGAAATGGCGGAAATTGATGCAAAGGTGCTGGAGAGACAACAGGGCGAAGGGTGGGATTACTCTTATCCTTGGGAGTTGGTGCAAGATGGTTTGAAGTTGAGGGAGGATGTAAAGAAGCTAGAAAAATAACAGGAAAGTTAATGAAAACATCATGACAATTTACAAATTCAAACTCTGCTATAATAATGAAGAGTCAATTAAGAAGCATGGTAGAACCTGAAGGGGAAGGGGGTAGTGAAAACGGAGCAGATTCCGGTGTTCCTCCTCTTTTGCCACCTTTATGCCCAGGAACTGACATAGCTGGTGCAGGCTGAGGGCTCTTTGTTATTCTTCCTTCAGGAGGATGGAGATGTGAGGATGGAGCGTGTGTAAAATTTGAATCATGTGGCGAAGGACTAATAATAGGGGTTGATCCTGAACGAAAGATCGATCAGGAATTAGTATTTCAACTTTTCTAATTCAATTCCCAAAAGGTGCACAATAACAATACCATTGAATTGGGAATTGTTGGTAGGAGACAAATGGCTTGATTTTCCTGTGGAAGGAGAAGCCGCTGGGGAAATCGTAGGCCCTGTGTATGACATATATGATAAAAAGAAAAAACAAAACATTACAACTAGAGTTTCAAAGAAAAAGAAATAAAAAACAAAATTGCAATCACTGACCAAAGTGCATTGAGCCAGTGTAACTTCAGGCGGCAGACGCTTACCATTGGAGCCTTTTGCACCAGGCGGATGGATCATTGATGGGGCTATTCTTGGAACATTTGGAAGAAGATCCGGTGGACTAAGTGGAACTATTGTTGGAGAAGGAGCTGGTGAAGAGAAATGTAATGAGAACTCAGTTTTATGTAACATCCCTAGATCCAACTGATTCCTGTGTTACCTGTTTTTTCAGCTGTGTACCTGCAGCATGTGGCAATGTTGTCGGAGAACCATTAGAAGGTTTTCCCGGAGTTTCACTTATAGGTGTTCCACTTCTTACTTGTGTTGATGGAGGATTTACACTTGAAGGAGAGAGATCATGGCCTTCATAGAGAGAACATCCCAAATTTTACTAATATGCTGAGATCCTTTGTCAGAGGTTTTAATGAAACATTATTTACCAGGATTATGGAAAATATTGGGCGCTTGACTTCCTTGAGGAGGAGATACTGAGCCTGGTGATTTATGTTCTTTAGCAGGAGCAGGTGGAGAGCTGGTTATAAACGGCGCTGCAGCATGAAAATTGGGAGCAGAAGCCATGGGATTTGGTGGCAGCATACTTGGAGGGTTTGGAACAGAGCCTGAATTAAGAGAATAAAGAAGTGTGAAAAGCTCCAATATAGCCAAAAATTTAATTTAGCCAACTCATATGTAAATTGCATTCAAGTTGATTAATGTTTCATTTGATCGAAAGGCGGATAAATTTATGGTGGTTGTGCTCAATCAGAATGGACACGAGTAGAAACGTCAATTGGACTAACTTTAGGTGATCAGGAAATGAATATGAGGGATAAAAGAAGAGATCTGGGGTTTTGAATCTTGCAGTAGCGACTGTTAAAACAACTTTCAACCTCAATTCCTTTCTTTGGGGACTTATGTGTAGCCTTTCTAAAGGATCTTAGGGCACTCAGACTGCTAATAGTCTAGATCCACCATAAATCTTGAGGTGTCATAAAGTAACGTGGACCAGAATGGAGTCCACAGTTGTACCACCGAAAAAAGGGGTATAATTTGTAATAGCCAAACCTGGACCGACCGGTCTAGGTGTTTCATGCAAACGGCCAAACCAAGCCAAGCCCTTCCACCTCTCTCTCCCACAAACCATGTAGTTCTTGCCTCTTTCGCACGCAAACGAGTCGAATGCCTCGTCAACCGTGACTCTCTCTCCAATTGCAATAGTCATGTGATTTCACCGCCTTAACGAAATTTTCCTACCCTCACCAACCTTCCTCTCACCATTTAAACCAAATAGGAAGCCTAGGGAATCATTCTAAGCATGCCCTTGCCTCTCTACAACCACCGAAATCTCTCTCCTCCTTCCCTTTCGCAACAAATCTCTACCTTCTCCTTCCTCTTCGCCTCTATCTCTCTCAACCACTATCTGAGACGTTCTCAAACTTTTTCTTCCTTTTATGTAGCACCGACATCAAAAAGGAGCTCTCTTTTGTAAGTCAAACTTCTCTTACCTTTGTTTCCTTCCTCTATTTAATTTGATCAAGAAGACAGAGTTTCAAAGCTTTTTCATCTCCTTTTTCCTCTATCGAATCGAAATTTTCCAAAGACCATAATTGATTTTCTTCTTAGAATTAATGATGAATTATATTACGTTAGATTTCAATTTTGATTTTTTTGTTATTTTATTTATAGATTTAGGTATTCAAATTTGATTAAATTCAATGCTATGTTTTGCATATTTAATTCCTTTTTTGAGTTAGATTCTCACTTGTAAGACCTTTGAGTCATTGACCTCGTAACTTTGTTAGTTGAATATCTAATAGGCTTGGAGTTTCATGTTGCTCACCTAGAAGTAACTATTATTTATTTTGGAATAAACATACCCCTTATTCATTAGGGGCGTAATCCGTGTTATTTGAATTTAGGTTCTTTTGATAATTGCTTAGATGTCAGTCCTATATTAAACTCTTCAGTATGATAACACACAAGTGGTAAATATTCTTTGTTGTTCATAATGAAATCATCATATGATGGAATAAACCCTATCTTGATTTACTGTTTATTAATTCTTATTCAAGTAAATTCATGTGATATAGAATTTTAATTGTTGCACCTTAGTTTTATTAAATAAAATGATAATCATTCCTATAAACCATAGTAATTATACAATTATATTTGGCATGTTGATTTATATAATATCTGTGAAAATTTATTGCAACAGCACAGACATGATGTGCTTCTATGTAGGTTGGTATAACCTATTGTATTTTCAGTGAGGGCAAGATTGAGACGGTGCATGAGAGAAGAGAAACAAAGAGATAGAGTGAGAGAGAAGAGAGATATGTACTATCTCTCTCAATTTTCATAGTAAATTTCTTAGTATGGTGTGGCTCCATGGCTTTTTCACATATTTTGGATTTTTTCACATTAAATCCCGTTGTTTTTTGCTTTTCCGCTGCTTTTACTTTCTTGTTATTTTTGTCATTGTGGTGTTTACTCCTCATCTCTCCCCAACATGTAGCAATTTGACATATGCATTGGTAACATTAGCATATCAAAACTTGTCATAGGAAACATATCATGTCTCATTGCTATTTTTATATAGTGACTATAAGTTACTCACACATTTTGATTATTCGTATTGCATGCCACACTCCTTTATCGTTTATACTTTTATAGATAGGAGTTACTTGCTAGTTTGATTTATCAAACTCACTTGTTATTACTTTTTCATAGCAGGTCCTGTCGGAGTGCTAGATGGACCGCCAGTTCAGAAGCAGAGTTATCAATACCAAACTATATTCGGTATTTTATATTTTGTTAGTAGACCTTTATGTACTTGCTTTGTGGGTTCGGTGGTTTGTTTCTTGTTATTTGTTCTACTTACATTTATTTTGCTTGTATCAGTGTTATTGTTTTGGTTTACTGTTATTTGAATATCTATTAAATAAATGAATATTTAGCTTCATTTGCATTATTTACTCTGATATAATTGGCTATATTATTAGTTTATCCACTTTTCTCTTTTGTGAGTACAAAATAGATATTTTTATTCCTTTATTGTGTCCCGTGTTGCCAATGTGTAATATAATTCAAGTGCATAGATCAAGTCATATTAATTTCAAATAAGTTTAAAAGTATTATTGATGGAAAATTTTTGAACAAAGCTTAATTGCTCCACAGGTCTGCATCCTATTATGACAATTAACAATGAAATTAACTGATTTGTATGAAAATAAAACTTCCATAGTATTTATCACTGAAAAAATATCAAAACAGATACATGTGTAAATATGATCATATACTTTTATTGTAGAATCAAGAGAACTTCATAAAAATAGGACTTTTGGCTGTACTAATAGCATGCTCAAAAAATTATGTTGGATACTTTAAATTTTCATATAGTAATAGATTTACCAGTTAGATGAGGAATTTGGGGAGACACTGCTGTTAGTGGTGAGGGAGTGAGCTGCACTGATGGTACTATTTCCTGGATGATTGGGGACACAGCCTCAGACCTTGATGATGGTGTGACTGAAGCATTTCCAACTGGACCTATAAAGTACAAGAAATAAATTTCTCGAATGAACTCTTATGTTAAAAGTGATTTGGCTAATCAAACTTCTCAACATTACCTATGGGAACAATCAGTGGACTTGGTGCATAGATACCTCTTGATCTTTCAGAATATGGAGGAGCTGACGATATCATCTGGTTGTAAGGATATAGAGATATGTCTGGTGGAGAGGCCCCCAATCCTACAAAGGAAAACACACAATGGCCCTCATAAAAATAAGCGGGAATTCAGTTATTTGAAGTTTATTCAGGAAATGATCAATGTCATAAATGTATGAATGTAACATATTTAACTTACTGACACAGCGATGGTTTTGCAATAATTTTTAAGAAAATGATATTGTGGACATGGGGAAAACTATAGTGGGACCTGTGGAGCCGTTCCCCCACTGGTCATATATATATATATATTTTAAATCTAAGTTTGACAAATTTTTTTAGCATAATGACCTAACTACCTAAGAATGCTACTTTAATGATAAATGAATTGATTTGATATTTGTTAATTGTTAGTATTAATTAAATACTCACAGCTATCATTGTAATAAAATATATTGTGGAGATTGTAGTTTAAGTCACTGTATATTTTGAATCAATTTGATATTTCCAAGTTGTTGTAACCAATTTTAATTTGCATTGTTGAGGTCTTTATTTAGTAAAAATATTGTCATTACTAAATATTTTATGACATTGTCAAGCTTGTTGTTTGAGCCAATATATATTTTTTCCCACCAACAAATTATGAATCTAACCAATTTTATGGAGAGATGCTTCAAAAGAAAAGTTAAAGCTAGTGAACTTTACACATGAGTACTGTCATTGGTGATTATTATAGTATAAATTCCAAATAAATTTATTTAGAAATAAATCTGAACAATATTCCAGTAGATCATGAATTAAGAAAAAAAATTCAAACTATAATCCAAATGACCATGACAAAATGTGAAAAGCTTACTTGCAAAAAGGATCATGCCACCTCATGATCATGATTTTCCTCAAAAACAACTTGGAAATAAAATGAGTAGATTTAATCCCAAATGTTTTAATTAATTCAAAAATTGGTTGGAATATAGTTGATGGGGACATCAGATCTTTGAAGGTTTATCAGAGGCGTGGCCACCAATCTACGGCCACGATCGAGTCGTTGTACTTTTGATTTATTTCATGTATTTTCTTATTTATGTGTCATTGTATTTGTTTTATTTTATTTTATTTCCCGTTGTACCCTTTTAGTAAAGGAATGTCGTATGTAAGCCTCGAGGGCATTATCGTCTTTCTATATCTTGAGTCTCATGTACAATTTTTCAAGGTTAATGAATGATTGATTAAAATTTCTTCCATGCATGAGTTCTTAGGAGAGCTTGAGAGTTTGATTGGTGAATCTCTAGGAGAGGGAACTCGGATCACCCATCAACCTTGGAGACAGCCGAGTTCATGATTTTACTTCTCTATCTTCTTTCCCCCTTCCTCTCTTCCCTAAGCTGTCGGCAACCCTAACTCCCCACTCCCACCCGTCGGCCAAACCCCACCATCACCATCCACGGCCAAACTTCCCCTAAACCATCGGCCCCTCCTCTTGGGCTTTTCCCTCCATCATCATCTTGCCATTAAACCTTTCCTAACTTAGCATTTTATATTTTAGGTAACTCTATTCATGACTAAATTCAAATCCATTTGAATTTAGACTAGTTACCTAAATTATAATCCTATTTTAGGCAACTTCCTAATTCAAAGCCTATTTGAATTTTGAATTAATTTGGATGAAATCTTTCATTCCAAATTTAATTCCTTAATTCAATATAGCATTGAATGCCTCCACAATTCCCTCCCTATCTCCCTATAGCCGCCGGCCATGCTAGAGGAACCGCCGGCCCCACCCCACTTTCCTTGCTTTGAATCTCCTAATTTAGTTTGAATTAATTTGGGATCAATTTGGAATCCAAACTAATTAAATTCAAGATTCAAATCCTTTCCTAATTCTATTAAACTATTTTAGGGAAGTTTACAAATTGAATCCAATTTGAATTTCAAATTAAATTAGAACCAATTAAATCTTTCCTAATCTCTAATCCCAAATTTAGGAATCCAAATCACTCCTCCATAAATCCCTCCCCACTCCTTAAAGCTGTCGGCCCCTATCTCCTACCCGCCCCTCCCTCTCTCTCCAATCTTCTCTCTCTCTCATTAAGTCTCCACCGGAATTTAGGATTAAAATTTTCCTCCTATTTTCCCATCTTCTAATTTCAAAATCTGAAAATTTATTTCAGATTTTAGAAGGGGAATTGTTCCTTGCCTCTTCCCTATTTCAAGTTGAAGAGAAACTTCTTTCTCTTCAACAATACTCAAGAGTGCTCGTAATCCTTGGGAAGACGTCGTCGTCTAGCATCTATGAATGGCCGATCCCGCCACTGAGTACGGACTTGAGTATGACGAACACGGCTTCGTGCACATTCTCCATTCAACTTTCTTTGACGTCAACCCGAGGATCGATCACACGGTTGAGGATTACCTAGAACGCATCTTGGACATTTGGTAGAGGCTATTGAAGAACCATTGGGGACCGTCGAGTGGAAGATTGTCGCCGGTCCTTAGCGAAATCCTCTTGTGTTTCTTAAGTCTAACCTTTTATTGTGAATTGATTGCAGCCACGAAGGATGCCTCCACCTGCTTCTGCTAAGCTTAGTGAACGTAGGGTTTGAGTTTACTTCTTTGTTTCTAGTTCTTATTTTTAGACTAGGGATTTTTATTGAAACTACTATTCTGGCATGATGTTGTCTTCTAATTTATTTTGAAGTTTCAAATCTCTGATTATGTGATTTAGCCTAAGCAGGCGTGACCCCTCTTATGTTTTAATCCGTTGTTGTAAATTGCTAAAAGTTTCTTTGTTATTTCTCTAATCAAGAGTTGTGCAAGATCTTAATAAAAATCATTGCATCCATACGTAGTTCTACATCAATAGTATTACAAAATATTTAGCTTATTATTTGTTTTGTTACATTTATAGACTAGACAAAAAAGAATAAACAAGCGGTGATAATTTGTTCACAACAAATTTAAAAATTAGAATAAGGAGGATATATTTCAAGCACATGTTGGTCACATCAATACTGTTCATAATACTATTTGGAAAAAATGCAATGATTTAATGAATCAAGATGGGCAAATTAATTTTGCTTATACAAAAACTTTTGAAGCTTACTATGATATTATCAATTGCTACAACAATTAAACAAGCCTTCTACTATGAAAATGATAAAGATCCGCTTAAACAATCATATAGAAGTTTTTGGATGAATGGCTGTCTAATTACTAATATTGAAAAGGACATATTTAATAGTGTTGAAAATTAAATGATTATAAATGGTTTAAAAATTAAAGACTCTAAGGGAAAAATTATAAGTGATTAAGTTTTTATCCGCATCTATTTTTTATATTAAAATTCTAATAAAAAACTTTTTAAAACTGTCAATACCAATCTGAAGCTTGAATGAAAGAAGTTGAGAGAATTTCTAGAAGTGTCAGTTTGTACCCCCACTAAGAAAATCTTGGTGACTCGGACTCCACCCTTGATCATGGTAATGATGTTTATGGAAATTATTTTTATAGACAATTCAAGGTCTTTAATAACTATGTCTATGGAAATCATAGGATGCCAAATATTTAATATAGATGATGTGATATCAAAATTAATTAAAAAAGAAGTATCAAAATATGAAAGTAAAATTGATCCTAAAGCTTTTACTGATTGGTTGTTGGACATAGATAATTTATTTGAACAAGAAAATATGTATAACGAAAGTCAATTAACATTGATAAAAATGAAATTAATTGATCAGGCTAAAATCTATTTGATGAGTATGTAGAAGCAAATAGAGAGATTAGAAGAGAAACCTACAATAATTCAGGCTGAAATGAAATAGCTTTTAAAAGAGAACATTTTGTCTTTGTAATATCAAAATAGTATAATTTAATTACCTAAAATAAGGCACAATGACTGCTAATAAATACTTTAATAAATCTGAAAAAATGTTGTTGGGTTCTAAGAACACTAAAGATCCTAAAACTACAACAATAAATAACAACAAGAACATCAAGCCTTTATCCCACTGTGGGGTAAGCTACATGAATTATGTTTCTCCATTGTGTCATGTTAAAAGTTAAATTCTCATTTAAATCTAATAAAGAAAGATTATTTCTAATATTTTCTAACCAGACCTTTTTAGGTCTACTTCTACATTTCTTAACATAAGTCAAATCTAATACATCTACTTTCCTAACCGGGTCATCGGAAGGTTGTCGTTTTATATGATCAAACCATCTAAGGTAACTCTCTCTAATTTTATCTTCCACTTGAGCTACTCCAACATTTTCACATATATGCTTATTTCATATCATATCTCTAAGAGTAAAGCCACTCATCCGCCTGAGCATTCTCATCTCTGCAACACTTAACTGAGTAATATGTTTCTCTTTTAATGGCCAACATTCTACACCATAAAGCATTGTAGGTCTAACCACCATCTTATAGAATTTTCCCTTAAGTTTAAGGGGGACGTTTCTATCACACAGCAAGCCCGATGCTTTCCTCCACTTCAACCATCCAACTTGAATTCTACTAATAATATCCCCCATCTATTTCACCATCACTCTAAACAATAGACTCAATATATCGAAAATGTGTACTCTTGTTAATGACTTGATCACCCAAAGTCACAATCCCCCTACTAGATTTATTATTACTAAAATTACACTCTATATATTCAGTTTTAGATCTACTCAAACAAAAGCCTTTAAACTCTAAGGTTGACCTCCATAATTCAAGTTTACCTTCAACTCCCTCTCTAGTTTTATCAGGGGGTTGATCCCCATATTCCCCCCCCCCCCCAAACTCTAAGAACAAAGGTTGGTTACGCCCCTGAGTCTTATCAACAAGAAGAATATCATCAGCAAAAAGCATACACCGGGTAAAACCTCTTGCAAATTTCTAGCAAGAACATCCATGACTAAAGTAAAAAGATATGGTCTTGAGGCTGATCCTTGATGTAATCCAATTGAAATAGGAAAATACTTGGTCAAACCATCATGTGTTTGAACAAAAGTAACAGCTCCTGCATACATATCCTTAATGATTTAAATATAAGCATTATTAATCCCATTCTTTTCTAGAACCCTCCATAGCACT